CTCCGCATGTAGTAAAATTTCAAAATTTTAATGGGCTCTCAATGAAATTAAGTTGGATCAAGGGATCTTCGCTGAAATTTTCCCAATTATTTAATCTCTCTTTAAAGCTACGGCTTTTTTTTTTTTTTAACCATGATGCAATCAACATTATTGCTTGATGTCATGGGCCCAAAAAGGAAAATAAAAATTTATTCAGTGCCTGGTTGTGTAATTTTTATTAATATTACTAACATTACTATCCTTAATTATTTTTTTAACGTAGAAAAATAAAAGAGATTTTGTAAGAATGGATCTATTTACTAATTATATAAGAATTGTTTAAGACCACCATATTCACGTGGTACGGTACACTATCGCCTGAGCTAAAGTCGGACGGTCATTTTATTATTTTCATTCATTGTTCCAAACAAACCTTCTCTATTGGATAGTATGGTCTCATTTTTTTAATTTTTAAAAACTATTTTACAATATAATTTGTAAAATTATTTTTTAAAATAAAACAACAAGAAAATCTATTTGACTGTGTTAATTTAAGAATTATTTTAGAATTAAAAAATCGATCAACACTGATGATCACCGGCGATTAATGGTAATGATTGATTAAAGTAACCATAATTTTTAATAATTAAGTAAAATATATTTTTTAAAAAAATAAATAAAAATAGTTTTTTTTTATTTTTTGTTTTTTAAAATAAAAAAATTGAGAATAGCTTTAGAAATAATTAGATTCAGGACACTCGATCAAACAATTTTTTTATTTTTTATTTTTAAAAATAAAAAAATTTGAAAACAGAAACTAAACAAGCTCAACTTCGTACGATGGCTTTTTTTTTTTTTCTAGATTTTAGCTGCTACTCATTCTGGTTTTATTTATAGGCTAGAAAATTTGAAAAGAAAATTTTTTATTTCTATTTATAAGTCATCTTGTTAAATTTTTATCACAAATTTTGTCACTTGATCTCTATTAAATGTTGAAGAGAAAAATATATTATTAAAGTATATATATTTAATAAGGACAAAGTTAATATATTATTAAATTTTTAAACAAAATTAATAAATTTTAATCTTGATTTTAGTAGAGTATATTAAAAATATTTTGTAAATAGGATTAGAATAGAAGAGTACATTGCATGGGTGTTCATAGACTTTGTTTGGTTTGGTGTTAAGAAAAAATCAGACCAAATCAAACCAATCAGTTCACTGTAATTTGGGACCTATTTAATTTTTTCCTCTAATCAATGTGGTTTGGTTTTTGAGTGGTTTTGTTTGGTTTAAGTCTAAATCAAGTTTAAACTTTTTTTAATAAAATATTCTTTATAATTACCAATATATATTCATGTTTACTGATAATTTTTAACTATTAATTATTATTTGCAAAAGAAAATTCTCTAGAGCACAAAAAATATTTTTTAACAACTAATTAGCATATTTAACTATTAAAAATTAATGTATTATCTTTAAAACACTTGATTATAAAATTAAAAAATTATCTTGAATAGTTATAAATAACACTTAGCTATTTGTAACTTATTTTTATTAATGACATACAAATAATTAAACTTGAAAAAAGGAAGAAAACTTTGACAAATTTATGAAAATGTATATGATAAATATAATAAGATTTGGTTTGATTTGGTTCAAGTTTCTAGAAGCAAAAACTTGAACCAAACTAAATCACATGGTTTTGTCAAAATAAAAACCAAACCAAATCTCATTTATAATCAATTTTAATCAATTGATGTTGGTTTGGTTTGGTCTGATCCGTTTGGATTGATTTTGAAAAATTGCATTATAATGTAGTGTAATATGAGTCAATCAATTTTACTCTCCACTCTAACCCAACACTGAGATGGTAACCATCACTAACACAAATATTCCATCTGTTTCTTATATAGGACACTTTTAATCATTTCACTTATCTTAAAAAAAGTGATATCATAAAAAAGTGAGATGTGCTTTTATTTTTATTCTTGACTTTAAATAATAATATAACTACAATAAATACATTCAAGCTAATCAAAAGGGGATAGAATTAAAAGAGTAATTTAATTATTATAAAATATTCTATGCTTTGGATCAAAATCATTTTTAAAAGGTGTTTTGTAAATAAAGTCACAAGGAGTATATTGTAATGGAATAGTAATGTCCCTCTTAATTAGACCTGACTTTCCTCCGCCGACCAAACTCTCCTCCGCGCCACCACTGTTCTAAGGTGTATTTTGAAATTTCCTATAGAATGCCATTTACATATACATACATACATAGATATATATATATATATTGGAGAGCGAGACAACATAAATAGTGGTATCTAAGGGCTTGTTTGATTTTTATTTTTATTTTTTTAAAAAAACTGTTTCGTAATTTAGTTTTTAAACTTATTTTTAAAACAAAATTAAATGAAAATTTGTTTAGTAATGTCAATTAAAAAAAATTTTAAAATTAAAAAATGAATTGATAGTGATAGTTATAGGTAGTTGATAATGGTAATTAATATTAATAATTGATCAAGATAATTATAAGTTTCAATAATCAAATATAGTGTATTTTAAAAGCAAGAAAAATAAAAAAATAAATTTAAATTGTTTTTTTTTTTTGTTTTTAAAAATAAAAAATGAAAACAGTTTTAGAAACCACTAAATGAAAAAAATACTTATCCAAATAAATTTTTAAATTTTTTTGTTTTTAAAAATAAAAAATAGTTTTTAAAAATAGAAAACAAACAGGCCTAAATTTTCATGATTTGCTTGACGAGTCATCCGCAAAAATGTTTGCTTCTATCAAACCATAGTGGATTGTGAGAATCTAGTTACATTGCATATGATGGGATTTATGATTAAGGTTGTTAATCTTGTGAGTTTAAATAAATTTGTGATATAGTTGTAAATTTAAAATGTAGACTCGGATTGTAAACTCATAAGAGTTTGTCTCTATTAATAAATAGCTTTTAAAAGTATATGATTAAATAATTAAAATATAAAATATGACCTTAATTTAATTTAAATATATTTAAATATAAATTATTAAAATTAAATCCACCTACATTCATAAATTATTATATTCAATATATAAATTTTAAAGTGGGGAAACATATTTTTGATATTTTTTTTCTTTTTTATTAATATTAGTTTTTTGTAGTTTTATTTTTTATTGAATCCGGTCCTACCATTTCTATAAACCAAATTCTACATATTATATACCTATCTTGCTCCATGAGTTTATAAGCCAATTATCACGATTTTAGAAGCTAAAAACATAAAAATGATAAATTTAAATAATTAACTTATGAATTTAACTGAATTTTATTTAATTTAAATTAATGAATAAGTTAACATAATTTTATAAACTGAATATATAAAAATGTTAAATTTAAAAAGTCAACTTAAGAGTTTGATAATAACATTTATAATATTTCTAATAAGATTGATAAGGTGATGGGCTTCAGATTGCTCATTATCGATTGGGGAGATTGCCCCTACCACAAGGGTAACATGGAAACGACATTAAAGCATAAAAAACAAATATAATGATAATTATATTTTTGTTTTTAAAAAATAAGTTACAAATAATATTTTAAATTATATTTTTAATTTAAAAATATAAGACATTTTTGAGAGGTATAATATTAAAAAATAAAAGCATGTTGAGTGTTTCGAAGTGTAATTAATATTTTAAAAAAATGCTCATAATAAATAAATCACTCTATATTTATGTTAAAGTGAAATACTATATATTAAATAAGAGTAAATATGAAAAGATAATATTAATTTAAGGATAATTAACTACTTTATTGAGAGTATAATTTAGTTAAAATAAATTGTAAATCACTATTAACATATTTTACTATAATTAAAAAAATTTTAATACTCATTAATTATGTTTAGGCTTAAATACATAAAAACTTCCTAAACTTTAAGATAGTTGTATATAATCTCCCTCACCTTTAAAAGTTTAAAATTAATCCCCCTAACATTTAATTTTGTATTTTAAAATCCCCTATTATTAATTATGTTATTTTTTATGCGGGTTAAATGTCATTCAACTGAAAAATATTATATTGTATAATTATTTATAATAAAATTTTTTATATTTTTTGAATAGTTGAGGCCTTGATAACAAAAAAAATTACTATTACTATATAAAACTTTAAATATTTATGTTTATATTAGTTTTATCCATATTTTTTTGTTATCAATGGTGCATGATTTTATTGTTTTAAGAGATACATTTGTATTTGTTTTTTCATGTTAGATTAATGTAATGCATATGGCTAAAATATTTAAAATTTGAAATGTTACCATGTAAGATTAATTTATTTTTTAATATAAGAAAACTATGTACCGTTGATAATAAAAAAGAAGAAGATAAAACTAACATAAAAGTAAATATTTAATTTTATAGGGTGATAATAACATTTGTTTTGGCTATTATCAATGTCTTAACTATCCAAAAAATATAAAAAAATTAATAAGCCATAGTTCTACAATATAATATCTTGTTTAATAATATCATCCTCATGAAAAAATAAAATAATTAATAATAAGGGGGTTTTGAAAAATAAAATTAAAGTTAATGGGGTTAATTTTAAAATGTTAAACGTGAAGGGTTTTATATGCAATCATCTCAAAGTTTAGGAGGGTTTTATGCATTTTAAACTTATGTTTAAAAATTTAGTAAATTCTCTACTTTGTTTTATTAAATATATATATTTTAATAATATATTTTTCCTTGATAATATTTAATAGAGGATAAAATAAAAAAAATTTGGTAAAAATTTAATAATATGATTTATATAATTAAGACTAAAAAAATATACTACTAATTGATAATGGTCTCGACTGAGATTTAAAATTAATGTTTAATATTATTTTCATTTTTTATTTTTTTGATGATATCAATTTTTTAGCACCTAACTTCGCCAATTTTTTCCCGGCTGGGAGAGTGAATCGCAGCAGTGCATAAAGCAGGAGCACAATTACCTCAAGCCATAAAGAGGCTTCCATAGAGAGAGAGAGAGAGAGAGAAGGCGAAGGAGATGGGTTAGTCTGGTTTGTTGAAGTTTCAGAGTTAAGCAGCCTTTTTCTTTCTTGTCTCTTCCATGAATGGCAGTCTCTTTTGCTTGCACCATCCACCACACCTTAACAATCATCATTCTCGAACATCTTCATCCTCTTAATCCCACCAAGTTTCTCTAAGCTGGAAGACTTCAACCACGACGCTCTCTTCACTCTGGATCCTCTCGCCGACCATCCTCACCACTATTACCAACTTCTCAATTTCAGACATGTAGACCAGGACCAAGAACCAGCTCCAGAAGACGACGACGATCCCGACTCCTCAATTTCTCCCTCTCCCAAAGACCCAGCTTTTCTTCTCCGTCTTCAATATCTCCACCAAAATCATTCTTATGCAGGTTTAGACTCACAGCTCACCTCTCTTCATCCTCCCAAGAAGCGGTCTTATCTCCTTCCTCCTCCGCCTCCGCCGTCTTCTTCTTCTCCTTCTCCTTCTTCTTCGTTTTCTGTTACTTCTGTTGACTATGCGACTGGGATGGGAGAGAGTGTCAATCGTCACCGGCGACCGCCAACGACGTCTTCGAGATTGGCCGTGAGGGGTGGACTGGGAGAGATCGTGGAGGTTCAAGGAGGCCACATTGTTCGCTCCACCGGACGCAAGGACCGTCACAGCAAGGTCTGTACCGCCAAGGGACCCAGAGATCGCCGGGTTCGTCTCTCCGCTCATACCGCCATTCAATTCTACGACGTCCAGGATCGCCTCGGCTACGACCGCCCTAGCAAAGCCGTCGACTGGCTCATTGAGAATGCTAAGGCCGCCATAGACGAGCTTGCCAAGCTTCCCGCTTGGAACCCCAATACGGTAAATCAAATCGCTCTGAAAGAGCAGGAGCGAGAGCGGAATCAGCAGATGAACGAGAACGAGAACCATTACCCCATTGGAGTTCAAGGTCCGGCGGTGGATGCTATGGATTCTGCTGGCCGGAGAACAGGTAGCGGCTGTAGGATTATGGAGCAATTGGGCGAAAACCCTACCCGCGGTGGCTTGGATCTTCTGCCGCCGTCGATGGACACAGACATTGCTGACTCCATCAAGTCCTTCTTCCCGATTGGTGCGTCGACGCCGGAGACGAATTCTTCGTCGATTCAGTTTCAGACTTACCCATCCGATTTGCTTTCACGAACTAGCAGCGCCTGCCAGAGCCAGGATCTGAGGCTCTCGCTCCAGTCTTTCCAGGACCCGATTCTGCTTCATCAAGCTCAAGCTGAGACCCAGCACCACCAGAACGAGCAATTGTTCTCTGCAACGAACCCAGTGGCGTTCGATGGATCTTCATTCCCAGGGGAACACGATCGATTGCATAGAATGGTAGCTTGGAATAATAGTGCTGCCGATGCTGGTAATAGTAACCACGGAGGCGGCGGAGGATTTATCTTCAACTCGCCGCCGCCGCCGTTCGGCCAGAACCAGTATCTTTCTCAGAGGGGTTTCCTTCAGTCCAGTAACACTCCCTCGATTCGTGCTGGGATAGACTCATCAATCGCCGCCACGCCTGATCACCACCAGCACCACTATCTTCCACCTACAGTCCATCATCAATATTCTATCTCCGGCGGTATCGGATTTGATTCCGGTAGCCTCTCCGGTTTTTGCTTTCCAGCACGAAGGCAGGGTGAAGAGGAGTACGACGGCGTTTCTGACAAGCCGTCCTCTGCTTCCTCTGATTCTCGCCATTGAACTCATCAAAAAGAAACCCAGAACGGCAGAACTTCCGTTCAGGTACCTCCTCCAAATTTCATCAACAGACCTCTCTCTTTTACTGAAAATTTTCACTCTGTTTTTCGCCCTTCCAGGATTCACAGTCGTATCACCAAGATGGAAACTTTAAGATTGAAGAAGCATCACGGGTTCAAGGAGTTGGATTCTGTTCTCACTCGTTCTGATTCAATGGCGTGCCGTTTGTTTTGGGCCAATTTTCCAGGTTTCCCAGTCCCCGGTTTGTTTTGTGTGCGTGTGTTTTAAGTTAAATTTTGTTTGACCAGAGAGACTATGTTTGTTTGCTTTCATCATCATCGTTGGATCACTGTGTTAATTCTGCGCCAGTTTGGAAGTCACTGTCTGAAATACAAGAATCAGATGTTAGCAAGTGATGTTGCATAAATCATAGTACTGAATGTGGAAGGCTATGAATGGTGTGTTTGGTATTGAGTATTGAATGAATGTTTCTTTTTTTTATGGTTAAGAGAACGAGTAGGGTTGAAGAAGGCATAATTGTGAGGCCATATTGATACTGGTGTCCTGTTTCGAGATGATGAGGGAGAGAGAAAAGGATGAATTGTTTTCTTTTTCTATGGAGTTTTGAAAACGTTAAACCCTAAAAGGCTGACGTTATCAAAATATTCAATTCAAGAAAACGTGGGTGGGAATGAATGATTGCTGTGTTCGCTTTTTACTGCTTTCAAGGTTTCTTGCTTAAAAAAATGACCATTTGGTGCTTCAATTTTGGGAACAATTTGACTGTGAAGTCATTGTCCATCAACATGAACACAACAAACTAAGAACTGTAGCATATGTATACTTTGCAAGTCCGAGATAAAGATTTTTTTTAAAAAAATCCTGTTCTTATTATTTTTTTACTTTGAATTAAATCTGAGGAGAAGCAAATATTTTATTAAAATGTTATTTTTGGCATAGTGAAATTTACAGTATAACTCCGCCTATATTTATAGCCGGTCCCAAGCCCGGGTAAAGGAGGAGGGTTGTGTTAGGCCATCAACAGCCAATGTAAAAATTTGTTGAATCTATCATGAACATGGACAATAGACGTTATAATGTTAATGCTAGGTCGTTGCCCGTAAGTAACGCGCTGCATGGCTCGAGTACAGTGATAAGTGAGTTAGAGCCGCTGCATCGGCGCCCGGATGTAGTGTTAAATGAGCAAGGGCTACCGCGTCATTCTGGACGCACGCGGCTAAAGAAGTTAGTCCATAAGAGCAAAATTAGATTTGGTACTTGAAATGTTGGGACATTAAATTGTAAATCTGTAGAGGTTGTAGGAGTTATGATTCAAAGGAAAATCAATATCCTTTGCTTGCAAGAAACAAAATGGCGTGGAGAAGAAGCTAAGGATATTCAAGGTTTCAAACTTTGGTATACAGGAAAAGTAAGTGCACGCAATGGAGTAGGCATCATTATAGATAAGGAGTGGAAAAAGAACGTTGTAGAAGTTAGCAGAATTGGAGACAGAATTATTTCTTTAAAAATGATAATTGGACGTGAGACTGTTAATATTGTTAGCGCTTATGCGCCGCAAGTCGGGACAGAAGCCAGTCTTAAGGAATTATTTTGGGAGGATTTGGAGGGGTTGATTCGACACATACCACAGAGTGAAAAGATTTTTATTGGAGGAGACTTTAATGGGCATGTCGGGAGGGAAGCTGGTCAGTATGCGAGGGTGCATGGTGGTTTTGGTTTTGGAGAGCTAAACAATGAAGGACAAACTCTTCTTGATTTCTCATTGGCGTATGATTTTAAGATTGCCAACACTTGTTTCAAGAAGAGAGATGAGCATCTCATCACTTACAAAAGTGGAGCCTCAAGGTCGCAGATTGATTTTCTTTTGGTTAGGAACACAGATAGAAAACTTTGTAAAAATTGTAAGGTGATCCCCGGAGATGCTGTAACGACACAACATAGGGTCCTAGTCCTTGATGTGTGTATTATGAGTAAAATCCAAAAACGTCGACAAGTAGTAACACCAAGGATTAGGTGGTGGCAATTAAAAGGTGAGAAGCAAGATATTTTCAAGCGAAATCTTTTGGATAAAGGAATTTGGGATTCTCAGGGAAGTGCTAACATCATATGGGAGGATATGGCTAAAAAGATACGGGAGGTTGCAAAAGTAGTTTTGGGAGAATCGAAAGGTTCTGGTCCGAGAGATAAGGAGTCTTGGTGGTGGAATAATAGTGTACAGGACAAAATCAAGTATAAGAAGAACTGTTTTAAAGCCATACATTTGTGTAACAATGAGGAAAATTGGGAGAGGTACCGTATGGCTAAGAAGGAAACTAAGAGAGCTGTGGGTGAAGCTCGTTCTAAAGCTTTTGAAGAATTTTATAAGAACCTTGAGACGAAGGAAGGAGAGCAAAATATTTATAAGATTGCCAAGAGTAGGGAAAGAAAATCAAGAGATCTAGAACAGGTAAAGTGTATTAAGGATGAAGAGGGAAGAATTTTAGTTACAGATGATGAAATTAAAAATAGATGGGAGACTTATTTTCTAAACTTTTCAATGATGGAGAGGATTCATCTAGTAACTTGGAGGATTTAGTAACTGGTGAAGGAGAACAAAATTTGTCATTCTATCGAAAATACGTGATAAGGAGGTAAAGGAAGCTCTTAAGAAAATGGCAAATGGTAGAGCCAACAGACCTGATTGTATATCTATTGAAGCATGGAAATGTTTAGGTGAAGAAGGGGTGAGATGGTTAACTAAGTTATTTAATGTGATTTTACGGTCCAAGAAAATGCCTGATGAGTGGAGGAGAAGTACATTAATTCCTATTTATAAAAATAAAGGAGATATTCAGAATTGTACTAACTATAGAGGGATTAAACTCATGAGCCACACAATGAAATTGTGGGAGAAAGTAATTGAGCACAGGTTGAGATTGGAGACAAGTATTTCTGAGAATCAATTTGGTTTTATGCCAGGTAGATCAACTACAGAGGCGATTTATCTACTAAGGGGATTAATGGAAAAGTATCGTTGTAAAGATAAAGATCTACACATGGTTTTTATTGATTTGGAAAAAGCTTATGACCGTATACCAAGAGAAGTGCTTTGGAAAGCGTTGGAAAAAAAGGGAGTACGGATTGCTTATATTAAAGCCATACAAGATATGTATGAGGGGGTAAAAACTAGTATAAGAACGCCTAGTGGTCAAACAAAGGATTTTCCTATAAAGATTGGACTACATCAGGGATCATCTCTGAGTCCTTATTTGTTCAACTTGATTTTAAATGTTTTGACGGAACATATTCAAGAGGAAATCCCGAAATGTATGCTCTTCGCGGATGATATAGTTCTTATAGCAGAGACAAGAGAAGAGGTTAATTGCAAACTTGAGTTATGGAGGAGGACATTGGAGTCGAAAGGTTTTCGTCTGAGTAGAAGTAAGACGGAATATTTATATTGTAAATTTGGTAAAGGACTATTCGAAAATAATTTGGAAGTGAAATTGGGAGATCAAATTATACCTCAAGTGAAAAAGTTTAGATATTTGGGAGCCATTATTCAAAATGATGGCGAAATCAGTGGAGATATTTCACATAGAATTCAAGCTGGGTGGTTTAATTGGAGAAAAGCTAAAGGAGTTATTTGTGACCGTAAGGTGCCTAATAAACTTAAAGGAAAGTTTTATCGTACTGCTATCAGACCGGCAATGTTATATAGTAGTGAATGCTGGGCTCTAACGAGACAGCAAGAGCATAAAGTTGGAGTAGCAGAGATGAGAATGTTACGATGGATGTGCGGACATACACGTAAAGATAAAATTCGAAATGAGCACATACGTGAAAAAGTGAGGGTGGCACCTATTGAGGAAAAAATGGTAGAAAATCGGTTGAGATGGTTTGGGCATGTACAAAGAAGACCAAGGGAGGCACCAGTGAGAAGAGTGGAACATATAACTTTGAGTCCGATTAAGAGAGGTAGAGGAAGGCCTAAGAGAACACTCTTGAAAGTTGTTGAACGTGATCTCTTAATTAATAATATTTCTAAAAGCTTGATAAATGATAGAGCACAATGGCGTCTTGCAATCCATGTAGCCGACCCCACCTAGTGGGATAAAGGCTTGTTGTTGTTGTTGTTGTAGTGAAATTTACAGTATCGGGCTTCAAAAACAAGTTAATTATTTTTAAGGGACACAGGATTTAATTTTTTTTTGCCAGTATGAAGGATTCGAGAATAGGTCAAACAGGCGTTGAGCTAATTAGATTTTTTTTATTTTACTTTTTTTTTAACATGTCACTAACTTTAAGTCATGATTTATGGATATACTTACACCTGGTAATCATGATAAAGGAAGAATAGAGGGAAACCAAGCTAGAAATATGACAAAAAAAAAACTGCTTATTCTGTCTTCTGAATAAAGGGAACCTAAGCTAAAAAGATGACAACAATATATCAATAAAGTACAAACAAACTCATTTGATTTTCATTCTGGTTTTAATACCCTATTTGATTTGATACGGACATGTTTATAATTTTTTGTACAGATACGTCGATAGGTTATACGCCGTTTAAAGTACTTTTATATATTGATATATGACGATATTTAAATTTATTGAGACTAATTTTTGATAGAACTTGTAAAGTTGTGCCATTCTTTGGGTATAACAAAATGTGTAACGAATTTGCAGGTCTGTTAGGGAGTGTAAAGTAAAATGATAGTGACAGATGATTGATTAGAAATAAAAGGTATATTTATTAGCGATGGAGAACTAGAAAGCAACCTCATGATCATGATGATCTTTAGGACCCACTCACCTACTTTCTCAGTTCACATTCTGTCTTCTCAATTATGGTGCTTCATATTTGCCTTGTTTCTGCAGAGTCTGGAAGCAAGTTTCATCTCAGTAAATGTACAATGATTATGTTTGGATTTTAATTAGAAAAATTTGATTAAAAATTGTGATGTTTTTTGCATAAGTTTTTTAAAATTGACTTTGCAAAATCCATTTACCAAATAAAAAAAAAAACTGCTTTGCAAAATGGAGTGGAGTTTAAGAAAATAGGGAATATTTGATTAGCGTCTCTATAAAATGAGTTTCAGATTTTAAATGAAGTTTAAAAAAAAATTGAAAGTGATTGAAATTAGGATAATTTTTTTAAAATCATTCTAGAGGAGTATCCAAATAGACTAATATACAATTAATTGTCCATAATCTCTATCATAATTAAATATCTCTACTGTTCATTACCTTTTTTTCCCCAATACATGATTATGATGTATATGTTTCATACACAACAATGTTCAAATTTTTTTGTGTCACTCACTCTCAATTCATTCCCGACATTTATTTTGTGAATGAAGACTATTTGAAAGGTACAAAAATACTCCTTCCGATGTTTTTTCACAAGATTATGTCGATCACTTATACGTATTAAGAAATCCATTTAAAATTAGTCAACTTTGATAAATTTATCTAAAATCTCAAGTAAATTTTTAATATCACGCTTTTTCTGTTATACTCATGAAATCGATACAGCTTTTGCATGCCCTATTTCTTTCCTCATGAGAAGGGGGATTTATTCGAATGAAAGTTTAAGAATTAAATCAATAATTAAAAAAATTCAAAACTAAAAATTAGATATTTTTTTTCATCCTAAAAATATTCTTATGAACAAAAGCGGACTGAGGACTATATATGGATGATAAATAGATGATATTGACTGACACTGATATTGAAAATGATAAAGTCAGAAATGTGGAGAAGAGATAATGTGAAATTACATATATATCAACATTTTAGTATTGTTGTGTTTTCTTGGATGGTCCCCCTACCCCGTGAATCTCACTGTCTGATAAACTCTCGTTATATGTACAGCTAGAAAATACTTAAGCATGACCAAAAAAAAATTGGAGAAAAATTAAAGATAGAAACAAAGCTGGAAAAATTGCTAGGAAATTCTTCATCAGGGTAAAAATGTGTTGGAGGACCAAAGGATTGGAGTGCAAACAAACAGGCTTTGGATAATAGCCATAAAATCCCAAGCCTGTCTGCTTGTACTCTGATTCTTTAGTCTTCCAACATAATTTCAATTTCAAAGAAAAACTCGATAGCAATTTTTCCAACAAAATTTCTGATGCGAGGTGTTATTAACTTGATTATGGACTCTATTTATAGGATTTATACACACACATGTATATTATGATTATTTTATGCATAAATAAAACAGATTGGGATTCACGTTTATACTTTTATGTATTTGTATATTTAAGATAATTCAGAATTTTCTTGAAAGAAAATATTGGAATTTGAGGGTGCCGAAGATTCGTTTATTTTATTTTACCATTTCATTAAATTGAAATGACTTCAAATTTCATTATATTGACAAGAAGGCGGAGTTTTTCTTTGTTTCTTTGCTTGAAGGTTTGACGAAACTACACCGTTTTTGTTGATTTTTGCTTCTTTTTTTGAGAAGTACTCTAAAATATCCTAGTAGCAGGGGGAACTTATAAAAAACAATAATAATAACTAAAAAGGTGCAATGCACCCTCACGAGGATCCAAGAGACCACCCCAAAATTTGTGCATCTCTTCTGGAAAAAAAAAAATTTTGATCCCACTCTTCTCTTAACCTGGATAACTGGATTGTCCATATTCAATTTGAACAATCTTTTATATATATGCATAGAGAGAGAGAGAGAGAGAGAGAGAGAGAGAGAGAGAGAGATTAGCTCACAGTATTCCTTTGCGAAAGTTAGTGGGCCCAGAATATAAATGGGGCTGAATAAACGGACAACAAAACGGAATCAACAAGTAAGCCCAATGTCAAATGGGCCAGTTAATACAAGATGGGACTGAATACTGGCCATCAAAACAAAATAAAAGAAAACTCGCGACCTTCGGCTCATAAGACCAACGCTCTAACCGACTGAGCTACGGGACCAGGTAATTCCGAACTTTTAATATCAGCTATATTAAATATCTAAATAAATTGATAAATAAGAAAAAAAGCAATAGAGTCATTCAATAGTTAATAGTAAATATTTGATATTGCCCTATATTTAAATTTTTCCTTTAATATAAGACGGGTCAAATTAAAAAAGATTTATAACAAAGTGTAACTGTACATGTCATGATTAAACTGAATCAAATAAATCTTTGCTCCAAAAAAAAAAAAACTGAATCAAATAAATCGAAATAAGAAAATATCATGAAAATACACCAGTGTTTTCCCTGAAGAAAAATCCCCCAATTCCTCACATGACAAAATGGGTGGTGTCATGGAGGCCTTGAGGATATGGTGGTGTGGTGTCTCTTTCTCCATGACAATAACAAGAATCTACTGTGGATTATTCCATAGCTTCCCCCAAAGCCCCATTTTTTTTTTTTTTGCTTAATTAGTTAAGTTATTCCATGCATTACATAGAAGTGTAGTAAATGACTTCGAGTTACACTGGCTCTAACTTCTAGATGGTATAACTTGATATAGATTACATATATTTATTGATAATTCCTATATTACTTCTTTTATTCGATTGTTAGCAAATTGATTGTGTGGAGATGTAGTAAGCTTGACCCAAAACTTGAATAAACTCCAAAAATTTTAGACGATGGTTTAGAAGTTTAAATTTTTTTTTATTTTAAAATATTTGGACATCCCAAATAAAGTCAAAAAAGTCCAGGCCAAGTTCAAACTTAAATAGGTTAAGTTCCAATAACTAAGTTCCTTTTTTATTTTTTATAAAATAATATAAAAATTAAAAATATTAATTTTTTGAAATAAAAAATGAAATTCTATAAAAATTAAAAATAATATAACATAATATTTAACGATTCAGGCCAGCTCGAATAAATTTAAAAGCCTAAGGAGTTAGAGCCAAACTTAATTATATGGCTTTTCATGTTAGGTATTTTAAACTTGATCGAAATTGAATCTGGCCCAAATAAATTCAGTTCACCTGAATTACTAACTTTAATCATATACATTATTTTTTGATAAAAATTTTCTTACTCAAATCTCATCTTTCTTTTACCTTTCCTTTCTCCCCCCCCCCCTCTTTATGTTCTTTCCATTCCAAATGTAGAGTTACTGCCATGATAAAAAAAATCTTTGTGATTTTAAAACAAAAAGATCGTAAATTATAAAGCAGCCAAAAATATTAGAACTCTAAACTAATTATAATAGTTAAGAAGTTTCAACAATCAATATTTTATTAAATAATTTCAATTTCCCCCCATAACTTCATTTCTTCATGCGTGCAAGTGTAATGTAACGCTCTATGCGTGAGATATTGTGACATGTGTCGACTTGTGGCGCCAAAACAAAGAGAAATGCAAATCCAAATCCAATCAGGCGGTGAAGGCCATGCATGTGTTGCGGGTGGGCCCCACATTTGGGGTCCACTACCTGCAAAAGCCAACCATGCTCAGATGAACCAACCACCTCCCAATCTCTCTCCCTCTCTCCCTCTCTGCCATTACTGAATTGAGAGCCAAAGAACGAGGCCACCAAGATAATGAGCAGAAAGCAGCGAGGATTTGGGTGACAAATGGGTTAATATCATATTTATGCATTTTGCTATTAGATTTCCCTCATTTCAGTCTTGAAAATGAAAACCATTTAGCCATTCTCTCTTTTAGCTTTTTATTTCAACTGTGTTTCAGATCCCAAGAAAGTTTTTTTCGACTACCAAAAGGATGTTGCCTACCATCTTTTTGTGTCCCTGGTCTGTCCCTCGGACAAGCACCTGGATTTGAGAAAAAAATTCGCAAATCTTTCAACACACTCTCTCACTCTCTCTCTACCCCACTCTGCTTTCTACTTCTTCTTCTTCGTCCTCTTTCTTGTCAGAATTTGCTGAATCGTTGGCTTGGTTCTTGGGTTTTTGTTCCTCAAATCTCACATTCTGTGAGATTTTGGGTAATTTTCGAACACCTCTATAATTTGCTCTCATAACACGATTTCAAATTATGGGGACTTGATCAGAATCTCGTGTCTCTCTTTTTTGTTGATCTGGGTGTCTAAATTTGCTTGCAAGATCTGGGTCTCTCTCTTCGAAGTTCAAAGTCACATGGAACAGAGCAAAGAAACTGCCTAGGAAAAAAAAAAAACGCTGCTGACACATTTGTGGTGCATACAATTTTTCATGGAAGATAATGACTCAGAAGGACCAAACCCAGAAATGGAGCAATAGCAGCAGTGGTGGCGGCGGCGGAGGTCTTGGAAGATCTTCAAAGAAGCCAAAGCAGAAAAAGGTCCCACAGAGAGGCCTTGGAGTGGCACAGCTTGAGAAAATAAGAATTGAAGAACAACAAAGGAAAGAAGCTGCTGCTGCTGGTGCCATTTTACCAGCTCCACCACCACCAACATCACTGTCACCGAGCAAACCTTATCTACCTCTGTCAATTCCTAGTTTTCATCACTCTAATCAACCTTCTTCCTCTTCAATTTCATTACATCCTGGAACCTCAATAGATTTTCCTAGGTTGCCTCTGTCACTGCAAGGTCTAGATGCTGCTAAAGCTTCTTCATTCACTGTTCCATTGGAAAACAGTGGTAAATTTGACCCTACCTGGCCTTCTGTTCACGAAAATGTGCGTAAGTTGAGTGATTTTGAGAAGGATTTTCTGTCAGGTATGAATATGAACTTGCCTTATGAATCCAACCCCACCTGGCCTCTCTCCAATTGGACTCAAACAACACAGCAATATCAGCAACCTCCTGCATCAATGGTAAGATGCTTTCAAGTTTGATCTTTCTTGGATTTTCCAACATGGGATATTTCAATTGGCATCTTTTTGAAATTTGTTGGACCTTGTAGGTGAATATCTCATCAGGGAACTTAACATCACCTGTATATCATTACTCCGAAGAGCCCCCTTCAAACCAAAACTATAATAGTAGCTGTGTGACAATGAGGCCAGGGGAGAAGGTATAGGCAATTTGTGCTCTTACTGAAATTCATCTGCATAATCTAGTCTCTATAGTTCATCAGGATAATCAATGAAATTTTGAGTTGATGGATGATGCATTTTGATTTAAGACTTGTTCTCACAAAACTTTAACCTCATCATGAAACTTTCTTAATAGAATCTTGTTTCTTTAAACTTGGCGCAGATGATTGGCCTGAAAAGATCATACCCCTTGTCTCTGGATGTTTCACCTGCCTCCTATTTTAATTTCAAATCGCCTGCTTTTAGTACTAATGTGAAAGCAAGTGAAACAACTTCACGTGCCTATGGAACTGGCCTGAACTTTGGCTCCGCCTCTTCATCTTTTAGGTTGTCTCGCTGAATCTGTTGGCTCTTGCATTGTAATTGTAAATACTATTAGCTCACATCTTTTATTTCTGCAACTTCTGCAGAGAAGTATCTTCCTGTACAACTCCAAGCTCAGAGTCAAACTCAAAGAAAGCTACAGAGAATGAGAATTTCAATGGAGATTTTCTCACTTTAGCTCCACCCACTTCAACTTTCCCAGCATTTCACATCCAGGAATTTTCTCATTTTGAGTCTCCACCTTTTCAGGTTAGGAAAAACCTAATTACCTTATGTTGACTGAAGCTTTATCCTTTGTCCATGGCTTGTTTATCAATTTGACTGTCAAGAAATTTTGTTCACTCGAGTATGACTTCATTCCAATTTCGTCCTTTTGGTGTTCTAAAATAATATCAAAGCCATCTTTCTGAAGAAACTTGTGGAATTGGAATGAAGTCATGCTCTGAGATTTTAACTTGAGTGACATCCCATGAACTAAAGTAGAATTATGGTTCATTTCTGCAGAATCTCATCATTCATTTTAATTAACTTCCATTTCATTTTCCACAGGGAACTGAAGAAGGTCAAATTCTTCATGGCCAGCAACAATCTCTACACAGTTTTTTTCCCACCAAAGGAAGCACAGACTGTCCAAACAAGAGAGACAAACAGAGATAAGAATTGCAATGGTGAAAAGGAACAAAGTGTTGATCTGAATTTGAAGTTGTGAGCATCTTGTTTTTGCCCATTTCTTCTCATGGTGTCACTATTAGGCCAGTTGTTCCTCACTATGAAACTCAAACCCAAAATTGCATACTCATCTTTGATCCAATGTTACAAGTGGGTAGATATGTCTAGAAGTTGCACATGTGGGGTTGAGTCTGAAAGGGACTTCAAATCTTTGCCATGTGAGAAGTGGGAGAGTGGAGAGGGGAGAGAGCGAGAGAGAGAGAGAGAGATTTATCTGTCTCAGGCTTTGAGGTGCCACATAATAATAACAATGCCTTTTCTGTTTCTGTGGAGCCAAATTCTGGTGGTTGTGTTGTGCTGTGTCCTTGAAGTTTTCTTCATCTTAAGAAATATTACCAAGTACGACTTCTTTTATGGTTATAAAAGTGACAGCATCTAACGCAATTGAAAGGAAATAAACACAACAAAAATTGCAATTATATATTTAAAAGAAGCGAGTTGTGTGTGTATTAATATCTCTCCTCAAATATATATTATGATAATACCTGCTATTCTAGAAATATATAAAGTATTTTTAACAAAATTATACTTTAATAAGTTAATAAATTGTCTTAAAACAAATAACATCCTTTTATATTTGTTCTTATTAATTAACAAGGTGTTTCATTTAAAGATAAAGAGTTAAGTGATTTATTTATTAAAGGTGTTTTTAGAAAATAAAACTTATTAATTATGCATTAAAAAATAAAAAACACCGTATATTTTTTAACCCCAAACTAAAAAAAAAAAGTCTTAAATTGCACATTTTATTTGAATGAAACTTAAATTACACATTGAGCGTAGAGAATTAAACTTGCTAATGTATATGTGCACATGCATGTGTATATTTGTATGCGCATGTGCTCATATGCGTATAAAATTATGAAGCTACAAGTTGCATTATTCATGGTCTAGTCTTCATCGAATATGTAAGGTTTATTGCTTATTTTTTAAATAAATCAGCATAAAATATAACTTTATAATAAATAATAATCTTATTTTGTTTCCAAGTAAATCTTACTTCTTAAGGTCCTATTTACAAGTCTTTATCCTTGTTTATTTATTTTCCCCAATTTTTCCATTTTTAATAAACACAAAATTAGTTAAGTTCACTTTATAGTATTTTTTTTGGAAGGTAAACAGAACTAATAATAATAATAATAAAAGATTGCAAGCTAATCAAAAACGTTCTTCTTTCATTGTCCAAATGACATGGTTCACATCGAAGATTTTAAAATACCCAATCCCCTTTTGAGCCCGTGTGGCTAGATAATGGGCGTCGCATCCAAAAAAATACAACGCGGATAGTGTGCAAACGGAGGTTCCAATCTTTTGGAAGAGAATCAGATGAATAAGAAGTCACCACCAAAATTTTGAGAAAAATTTTGAAAAACCATTCAAAGGAGATAAAGATAGTCAGCAAAATTAGAAAATAGTTCGGAGAGTTAGTTGAATGTGAGGAAAAGTGTTAGGCACCCCACAACACCTGTTCATGAGAACGGTTACTTGAAACTTGTTGTGCTATATTAATATAATTTTAAAATTATTTTAATTATTCCTTTTATATTCATGCGTTTGATATAAAAATGATAAAAATTAAGTGAGAAATATTTATTTATTTACAGAGAAGACTTAACTTAAAATCTGACTCTAAGGCCTATGTACCCGATGATGGAGATCAAAGTTCACGTAGTTCGAGCTTAAAAGTTGTTGGTAAAAATATTTTTTTGAAGAGAAATTAATTAAAAATAATTCACCATTTTGCAAATGAAATGATTTTTAAAATTTTGATATGTGTGTTTTAAATTGTAAAAAGTAATTTTATTTAAATTGTAAAAAGTAATTTAATTTCAATTATTTTTTTAATTTTTAAATTTTTGAAATAAAGAAAGAAAATAGTTTAAAATTATTATTTTTTATGTTTATGATTGAGAATTTAACTGCTATACCTGCAGAGTTTATTAGCTCATATGATAATGTAATCGTTCCAAATATCTGTGAAGATTCTAAAATCTCACACGATAAAAGAATTTAATAACTTTATTTATATTTTTGAATGTTAGTAATAATTTCTTAAGCATGTATGTACATATACACTTTTTCAAAAAATATTAATCATCATACCTGCAAAGCCATATTGACTTATATGATAATATGGTTATCCTAAATATCTATGAATATTTTAAAATCTCACACGATAAAAAAATTAAATTTATTTAAAGACATCTTTAATTTAATTAGTTTAATATATATATATATATATATATTTTAAAAAACTTAATTGTTATATCTAAGTTTTATTGACTTATACAATAATACGATGATCTTAGAAGTCTACGGAGATTTAAAAACCTCACGTGACTCAAAGATATAATCGATAAATGTAATTACAATTTAAATACATTAATTTGGTTAATTAATTTTTCAAATTGTGTATTATATGATTATTTACAACAATCATTTATCTATTATAAAAATTAAAAATCACTATATCTGCGAGGACTTATTATCTCACACGATGATGTGATTAGTTTAAGTCTCTACGAAGATTCTTGACATCTCACATGGGACTTAAATAAATTATTAATTTAGATTATAAAAAGAGAGTTAATTTTGATGATGGACCTTTAAAATCCATATTAATGTATAAATTTTACTCTTATATCTGTGAAACCTTATTGATTTATACGATATGAGATTATCCTAAATATCTGTAGAGATTTAAAGTCTCACACGATAAAAGGATTAAATAATATTCACTTTGAATATATTTTAATGCATTAATTATAACGCATATTTTTAATATAAAAGTTTTAATTGTTATACCTGTGAAGTCTTATTAACTCATGCGGTAGTATGATTATCCTAAAGGTCTATGAAGTTTTAAAAATCTCACATGACTAAAAGATCTAATTACAAAATGTGATTATAATTTAAGTTTATTAACTTAATTAATTAATATTATAAACATGTTTATTATTTTATGTACTCCTATATAAATTGAAAATCACAATATCTGTGAGGATTTATTATCCCACATGATGATGTGATTATTTAAGTCTCTACAGAGATTCTTAAAATCTCACATCGGACTTAAATATTTTATTAATACAAAAAGAGTTAATTTTAATGATGATCATTTTAATATATATAAATTGATCTTCATACATGTGAAATCTTATTAATTTACACAGTAGATGATCATTTTAAATGCCTATGAAAGATTTTAAATTTCTCTTGCAATATTGGTTATTTAAGAATATCCCTATTTTGCTGCTTCATCCAAAAGTTATTGTATTTCACTTTACAAATGGACTCTAAAAATGATAATTTAAAGTTTTATACATCAAATTGCACATGTGGAGAAATATGGTTATAAAATTAAGCTCAAGAATGCCCCTATGCAAGAAGAAAAGAAAATCACCAATTAAGCTATAAAATTAACATGCAATTTATTGACCAACTCTTAGAAGCCAATGTAATCAAATAGGTAAATGAGATCTAAAATCTTAAGAATTTTGTTTTAAACAACAGTTAGAGAGTATTATGGATACAAAATTTCATATTAAAGTAACCTTTGTGTCAATATATAAGAATATATAAATCAAGCTGTAACAATTAATGGAGAAAAACTTTTCATGACCAATTCCGCAAAAACCAGCATATTTAACCGTGTAAACAGGCTCCAAAATAATGAAAATTTTAAGGATTAAACTAAACAGGAAAATGAACATTTGTGCAAAATAGTAGACAAATACCACATAAGTATAGATGGAGGAAACCAGTAGTAACAACCTAAGCAATGAACATGAAATTATAGGAGTGGATAAGCTTAGAGTTGTTACTTATAAGCTGTTAATATGCATGCTTCGCCTGTGTTCTGCGAGCTGAACCATCTTCTCCTTAACTTTATATCTCTCTTGGCACATGTCTGTCAACCACACTCCTGGACTCACCAATAATAAGCTTCTCTAAATGATCTTGGCCTCTACTCTCGGTCTGTCTGTGTTTTTTTTCTTTTGATCTCTACTCTCTGTTTCACATTGCTGGCTCTCTCTTTTTTCAGTTTTGGATCAGTGCTCTCTTCTCTTCATCCTCGCTTCTTCTTCTTGATCTCTTCTTCTTTTTCTGCTCTGATCTTTACTCTCAGTTTCCTCCAGTCTTTGTTTTTTCTAGAAAAAACTCTCCCTCTAATCTCCGTCTTCTCTCTCCCTCAGTCTTTGTTTTTTGCTTCTGATCTCAGTCTCCTCTCTCTCTCGTTCTTCGTCTCTCTTTCTTCTCTCGGTCTCTTTTTTCTGTGTTGCTTTCTCTCTCCCTTATGCATTTCCTTCAAGCTCTGTTTTTCTCAGTTTCCTTCTCCTGTCTTACTCTTCGTCTCCTTCTCATTCTCCATCCTCTCTTGGACTCGCTCTCGTCTCTTCTTCGTGCTGTCTTTATGTTTTCTCTCAGTCTCTGTTTCTCCTTCTCAGTCTCTCTCCTCTCTTTATCTCCATCTCTCTCTTGTGTCTCTTATGCTTTGTTCTTGCGTGCATGCTATCTATGTTCTCTCCTTCCTCCCTCTCTTTCGTATTCTTTTTTTTCTCGTCCTCGGCTTTCTCGTTCCTTTTGTGCTCTGTGTTTCTTCTTTTCCGTACGTCTCTGTGCTCTTATTTTTCTCTTTTCTGCTACTTGCATCGTGGTTGCAGCTTGATTTCAGGGTCTTCTCTACATGTGTTTCGTGTTTGCATGCTGTTGCGTCTAGCCGTGTGTTTTGTTTTTGCTCCTTCTGCTTTGTTTTGCTGCGCATGCATGCACATGGCTCAAAGTGTTTTTGTGTTTGTGTGGCTATTTGATTTTGCTTGTTTTTTTTCTTCTGCATGAATTTTTTTTTTTTGGTTTGGGTGAAATGCTATCCAGCCTTATATTATATATATATACATATATATTTTGGTTTCCAATTTCTTTTTTTTTACATTAACACACACATGTATGTATATTTTTTTCAAATGAAAAATAAGATTTAAGGAGAGAAATTTAACTCTCAAAAGTTAACTCTCAATATTTTTGAATTATTGGAATAATTTGGGAGAGATTTTAAAAGATTTAAACAAGATTTTTTTGATTTTGTTAAATTATTTTTTTTGAAAGTATAATCCTAAAAAAAGATTAAATTTAGTTTTTGTTTTTTATTTTTTTATTTTTTAATGAACTAAAAGAAACAAAATCCTAACCAACAAAAGATTATTTAAAATAAAATTAAACTCTATTAATTATTATTTTTTTGAAAATATAATTTTAAAAAGGATTAATTTTATTTTTATATTTTTATATATTATTTGATTATTTATTATTATTTTATTAAATTTTAAAAAATGTCGGGACAAAATATAATATTCACAATGGGTACAAAACTTAGCCTCCTTGTATATAAAGTTCGATCTCTAAATAAAAGCATTCTAACATGTTCAATAATATCTCTAAAGGGGTGATGCACTAAATCAACCCTAGTAATAATCTTAATAGCTTCCCAACAATATGTGAAAACTCGAACAATATATGGAAATTCCTATCCTGCACTATTGAAGTCTTTAAGCGATACCAAAAACTTCGATATTAACGAGAAAATTTATGAAAGTTTACCTTATATTAAACATTGAAGAGAGTACTTTTTTACCAACATTTAATGAGAAGTTAAAAGAAAATATTTATGATAAAAAAATCAAAATATATCTTATAAATATATAGAAAAAATCTATCTCTACCTCCTAAGTAAAATTGCTGGAACTACTTTTTATAAATGGTGGTGATAAATAACATAATAGAAACTCCCTTCATCTTAAATTATAAGATAAAGTTAGGGATATATTGTTGTTTCAAAATATAAAATAATTTAAAAAAATAAGATTTTATTGATGATACTTTTTTAATATTGTCTTTCAAGTGAAAAGAGAATTAAAATGATATTATAATATAATGATTAAGTGTGTAGAGGTATTTTTAAAAGTTTATAATTTTTAAAAAAAATAAATTCATAAAATATCATTATCATATTTTATTAATATGTATAATATTTTTTTTAAATTTATCTTATAATTTAAAATAGAAGGAATATAATAAATCAAAAACAGGATCCTGTTGAGTGGAGCGCTTGATATGTTGGGGTGAGAAGGGTGGTGATGGCTCTTTGGAACTGATAGGAAAGTGAAATGGGGATACATTACTTCGCCAACTAAAAATGCATCTGCTGTGTTGTGTTTTGGTTCATCGTCTCTTTTGGATTGAAAGGTGGGGTCCACAAATCTGAAGGCTTCATTATGGTTCTAACTTCTATGGGACGGCTTGTGGGCCCCCCCAACAACAATGCATGTGCGTGGGTGCCTTGCCATGAGGGCCGAATAGATGAATTAATTGTGGAAATTTAGAAGATAACACCACGGGGGATGTCATGGACGATTAAGGCCTTGGAATTGCAACTTCCCTCTCTTTTCTACTCTTTTCAGAAAAATATAAAATATTTTTAATTAAATTTTATTCTCAATAAAAAAATTATATATTTTTAAATTAATTTATTTTTTATATTTATTTATTAAATATTCTATAATAAATATAAAATCACTATCAATAGGGATACTTTAAAAAAATAATAATTACGCTTTTAAAAAACTAAAAATGCCTTAGGGGTATCTCGTTTACTTCTAAATCTCTTAATCTTTATTAAGTCCATTAAATCCTTTAAGTGTACTCCTCCAATGATAGTGTTCATAGATTCATTTTGGTTTGATTTTTTTAAACCAAATTAATTAGTTCACCAAAGTTTAAGACTTATTCAAATTTTTCCTTTAATCAATTTGATTCAATTGTTGAGCAATTTGGTTCAATTTGATTTATATTTGGTTAAATCTGAATTTGTTTTTTCAAATATTTTTTATAATCAATATATATTCATATTTACTAATAATTTTTAACTATGAAGCACTATTTATAGCAAGAAAAATCTTAAGGATAAAAGAATAATTAGTTAATTGTAATAGATTTTTTATTAGTGATTTACAAATAACTAAATTTAGGAACAAGAAAAAACTTTAAAAATGTGTAAAAATATATAAAATAAATATAATAAAGTTTAGTTCAGTTTCATTCAAGTTTCAAGAGACAAAAACCTGAATCGGATCAAACCAATTAGTTTTGCTAGAAGAAAAACCAAAAATAAACCTTATTTATAATTGATTTTGTCCAATTCATTTTGGTTTGATTTGGTTTGATATGATATAATTGGTTTGACTAGTTTTAACCTCTTAATAATTTTAATAACTTTATTTTTTGAATAAAATATCTATTTAATTTCTTACATTTTTTTTACCATCATTATTGACAGAATCAATTTATGTTTACAGTCATTTAACATAATATGCTTTTATTGAATAGTATACAAATATGAGGGCACACAAGAAGTTATTGTATACTACATCTATTAAAAAATATAAGACATTTTTAAACGAATCTTAGTAGTGACTTCTCTTTAAATTAACATTATCTTTCTTTACCTATCTTTATTTAATAGAATGTTTCATTCTAAGGGAGCAAGAACGCATGCTTTAAGAAATAATAATAGACAATAAAGTTTAGATGACCAAGCATCAATTAGTAAAAGCCAGCAAAATCCTATAAGTCTCTCTGAGTTTACTATGATCACTAATAAACACAGAACAGGGATAGCCTTTACAGACTAATATAGCACTGTTTATTAATTACTGGGGTCTATGACCAACCACAGACATAATCAAGGACATAGACCAGAGCCAGAGAGAAAGGATAGAGAAGGATAGCCACTATAGAAGTCCAGAGAGGGAAGGTGGTACGGAAACTGGCAAAGACGCCCATGACCACGCAAACCACCAGAATGACCAACACTTCCGAAGAGAAGTCCCATGTCAATTCTCTTATGTATACAAGGGCCAAGAACACTGCCAGGCAAAGCACGTTGTTCATTGTCACTGCCCCATATAGCTGCAAAACACAATTGTATAGTTCATATTTAGAAGCCTTCTTCATTTGTTACACCGAGCATATACACACACAGACCTTGACTTTTGAATGAAATTTCGTTTTTCATCATTTTCCTAATACCTGATTCTGAGAAACTCATCAAGGATTCCTGGCGTGATAGGTTTTGGAAACATAGTGAAGAATGTTTGAGAGATAAAGAGGATTGAAACTAACAAAAATTAAGAGAAGAAATTTAAACTTCATACGGAGTAAGGGACCAAATATCTATTTTGGCTGAGAAAATTAAATACTGGCGTTGCTGTTACGAGGAAAGAACTGAGAGACTATGAATGGCGGGCTTTAAACTATAAGCCTGTCATCTCTATATGTGTTGCACAGTGCAATGCTAATGATGAAAGAAAAGCAAACAAAAGAGCCAAAATCGGAAACATATTGATAGGAAAATAAATCAAATGTTTCTTCCTAAGACATCCCCACAAAACGGAACAGAACTTAATGGCATAGAACTTCGATTTTTGAACAAGAGCAGTCATCAGGAGAAATGCTAATAAGATGCTAGTTATTACATGAAACTTCTATCACTTCAAACACTACAGCTACTAGCAAGACACAAAAGCAACATTGTAAGTTTGAATCCAACAAGCATCAGTCTTGCTGTGACTGACCATGCAACAGCCCTTTTAAATAGCCTACAGAGGGTTATTACAACCCACTCTTGAGTGATTTCCAATTCTCCAGCCACCCCAAATTTCATCAATAAATAAAATTGCAATACTAAAATTTTAAAAAGTACTGGGAGAATAACAGGACTGCAACCAATTGTTACCTGCAATTACTATTACTAATTGAATAAAACACAGTTCACAGAAGAAAACTCAATTTTCATGGAGTTTGTCAAATGCTGTTGAAGCTGTACAAATTTATTGATCTTAGATATATCCACAAATATATGCATTGATGCATTGCTAAATGGATAATCAGAAAATACAAGACGAAATTTCACATAATCCATGGAGTGTTACTAGAAAATGAACTTACGATACTGCAATTCACCGTGATTTCTGCAATAAGTAGATAAGACCTGAATGGGTTTTTTTGAAATTGATTAACCATATAATAACAGTTTTATGACAACTTTAGCTAAACAAGCAAGCTTAAAATGGTTAATCATAAATATCATAATAAATGAGTGCCGTTTTGTTTTGCCAAGTTATTATTCCATAGATGTACAGAAAATGACACAATTTGAATGAAAGGTCTGAAGACCAATCTTTCCACTATATCCATGCTCCCTGATGCTTGAAACAAAAAAGAAATGTGTGAAAAATTAGTAAACAAACCTCGGAAAAAGTTAAGGAGGCGGTTTGCCTCTTCTCACGACTAGCAAAAATTATTGCGGACACTGCTTCACTGGCATTCGTAGCCAAAGGCAGTACAATGAAGGAAATGAAGAATGCAGGAATACTTGTGACGTCGGAAAATTCATCAACAGCATCGACCAGGGGATCAGCAAATGCAGCAGCAATAACTGTTCCAAGTAGAAGCAGCAGCACTGCCTTGATGGTATTCCATTTGGCATTCTCAACACCCTCAACAGCTTCTTCTGCCGGACCCCCCACATCCAATAGATCGTGTTCCCTCTTTGTTTCCTGCAAATGAAAATCCATTCAGTTACATATCCGTTTCCTAAAAGAATTTCTTCCACCGAGTCTATTGTAGTAAAACTCACTTGGTGCAGATCACTTAAAAACTTCATTGTACGATGACCAGTATCACCAGACGAAGCCCATCGAGAGCGCTTAGCTTTAGAGAGCCATCTACTAATTCCGTTAAAAAACTCATATTCATCAATGTGTGAATTACGAGATGTATCAAAATCCTCTATTATTTTCGTCACAGCATCATCATGGTCCAGGTCAATCTCGTCAAATCCAATTCCAATAACCAGCGCTCTCAATTCACCATAAGAAAGTTCTCCATCACCATTCTCGTCAATTTTTGAAAAAAGCCTGTATGAATAATCATCGAAAGGAGGTCAGTGACGACCCAAAAAGCATGAAAATATGAAAAAGAAGACAACCATATGATTCTGGAAGTAAGATCTCGAGTCAAACCAGAAAGAAGAAAACATCTTACTTCTTTATTATTTCTCTATCAGGCTCACCATCTTCTCTCAGCAACCTTCCCAATGTTTGCTCCCTCGTCGTAAAATGTCTCAGAATTCCAAATATTACGTGCTTGAGCTTCACATAAGCAAGCCTTCTCCTCTGTATCCAGGGCTGGAAAACCTGCGCAATTTTCCTCTCAATTTCTTCAGGTTGCAGTGTTGCAGGAACAATTTCAGGAATGGGTTTATACCCCTTCCTTATTTAGTCCCAATATACCAAATTGGCTAATCACAAGTTAACAAACTATACTATATTATATCCCAAAAAAAAAAAACAAACAAACAAACTATACAATAAATACATGCAACACAAGATTCCTTTATCAGGGCTCTGTTAAGCATTGTCTCTTTCTTTCATGGTATTGTGCTGCTTAAAAGCCAGAGTTGTTATTGCATTAAGACAGAACAATCGATAAACAAAATAAATACGTCGCATGATGCATAAGAAATATGACAATATTGCAACAAATTTACCTGGTAAAGGCAATAAGAAACCAATAAACAAAGAGAGACAATAAGTCCAATTAAAACAGCCAAGTGCCTTCCTGACGTTGATTTGAGTATTTGGGGTATTTGAACAATCAGAAATGGAATGACAGATATAACCATGATCCTTGCAGCATAACTTGTCCAAATATCCGTGCTGACACCAGAGCCTGCACTCGACACATGCATTGGTCAAATTATTAAAATATCCATACTGATTAAATGCATGACCTTAAAATGGAATGGAGGTTTAAAATTAGATAACCTTAATTTACATCATTCGTCCTTTTAAAATTTGAACAGTTATGCCTTAATTCGGCAGAGAAAAATCCTGAGACGAGAAAGTATACTATTCGATGATCACCTGGAGGTGAGATTTTTTTTTTTTTTTTGGGAAAAAAATTGCCAAGAAGCTTAATATCAAAATTTTCGAAGATAACTGAGAGGAAGAAGAACATCAAAGATTTACCAATTAAGCTAAATCCCCGTGTGTCTTGTGAATCTTTTGCAATTGAATCTTCAATGTCGCACTTGCCAACAATAACACAAGTTCCCCATATTATAGTCAGGAGCAAAACTGTTGACCCCGCTAGCAAACCCATTCCAACAGAGACCTGTTTTTGGGCGGTTTCGGTACTGCCAGAAAGCCCAGATACTAGAGTAAAAACAAGATAAATAAATCACAAAACGATAAAATTAGGGAGATAAAAGTATTAAATGACCATTAGTTTAATAAATGAGAGTAACAAATTTATATCAATTTTCTGGAAAGTACAAGCAGCCACGAGATTGTGGTCAAGATAAACTTTAATCCATCCAATGAATCATGGAAGATGTCGCACAGGAATCGCTGCTTGTCAACTAAGACTATCAGCATTTCGTCAAAAAAAAAAAAAACCTAAGACTATCAGTTAAATTCTTCTTTTTGTACCTCTGTAATGCGATCAAGAATTGAATTATGGACCACCATCAAAAACATCAGAAACAATTTACTTTTTTTTTTTTTTGAAAGGATGCATCGGAGGATCTTTTTTCACTATTAATCCTAAACCCCATTCGGCATAGATATTCACCAAGTGGAGAGAAGCGCGCAAAATGTAAAAGGAAGTTAACCAGGTAGAAATTTGAAGAGTTTAGGAAAGCACATGAAAAGACAAACAGTAAGACCTGGAAATGGTCCAGAAAATGGGCATCGCATGCACCAGACCCCGGGTTGGCCCAAACTAAAAACAAATGCAAGTGAGTTCCACATGCATCTACTTTTTCCCCCCTTTTAGTGGAACGGATAGTATTTCATTCAAAAAATGCACGATATTTATTCATCATATTCCATCATTTTTTAATACGTCTACTTTTATTTATATTTGTAATTTGTAATTGTAACTACAATGAAGGGGATGCAATAATAGTTGAAAAAACAAGGGAACGGGATCCCACGTTAGGATAACAAGAAACTATATTTATAAATATATGAAGGGTTATCAATATATAGTTCGATTCTTTATTATAGAAAAAAATCAAATTGATTAAGATGATTTAGAGGCAGAGTTTTTAACCGGTTTTGGTTCTATGAAATTGATATAAATAATAAAAGGAAATTTATACACAAATCTCCACAACACATTTAAATACATAAGATCCATTAATAACTTAATAAAAGAAAATGATAGTTAAAAGGAAACTTCAAAATAATTTTTTTCAATAATAAATCATACAAACAACATTTTTATAATAAAAAAATAAATTGCACGCTCGCAGAAATAAAGGGTTACAGTCCAAGTCTCCGAGCATACAATTTTTTTTTTGGGGGGGGGGGGGAGTGGAGCAAGGATTATTTGGACGAAAAAAGAAAACATGAGCGCGTTAAGGAACCGTCTTATCGATACTTTCGAAAAGACACAGAAAAGAAGGATCTAAAAATAAGATGCGATTGACAAAAGATCAAAAAATGATTTAATCATTTAAAAGATATAAGATGGGTGAAATTTCCTTTTAAAATAAATAATTACATAATAATTAGAAAATGATAAAATTTTAAAAATAATAAATTATTCATAAAAATTATATGCCTAGTTAAAATGTTTTTATTGGATGAATATACTAATATATAAAGTAATTTTTAAATCCTTACTATTTTTTTTTGCCAACTTTGCTTCAATGTTTAAATTATTTGAATTTCAAAAAAAATTTAAATAAATGAATTTAAATAACTAATAATTGAAGTAATATTCTTTTGTAAAATTTCGAAATGAATAAATTAAGTTTTATAACTTTAACTTTGTCAAATGAGGCATTTTGTGAGAGAGAGGCAGAGAGATAAGACAAATAAAAAAAATCAACCAATCAAAATCATCAGTGGAAAATATATAATAATATAACTAAATTATTCACATAAAGAAAAGCGTGTGATGCCAATAAAACATTCTGGCAAAAACATAGTACTCCTTCCTATTTAAAAATATAAGATATTTTTAATTGAATCTCACCCTCAATACAATAATTACCTACTTTTAAACTAACCTTATAGTTTTATATCTATCCTTATTAAATACCCTATAATAAATAATAAGTTATTATCAATAAAGGTACTTTTTGAAAAAAAGACAATAATTATATTTCAAAAGACTAAAAATAAATGTCTTATATTTTTGAACATCCAACTCCTCAAAAAATATTTTACATCTTTTAAATGGAGGGAGTATAAAATATTCAATCCACAAAAAGAATAAAATGTTCTCAGATATTAAGATAATTGTTATAAAAATATATAATTAATTATAATTTTATCGCTATAGTTATTTATTTGTAACTGTTTATAGAATTTTATTTTACCTTTCTAAATATTATTATTTTCTTACAAAATTATACAGTCAATTTAATATTTAATTTCTATTAATTTTTAACTTTTTTATGCAAAATAAAAAAAAAATTTAACGTTTCCGTAGGATGTAAAATCTAGTCTAGTTGTTATTAAAATAATTAAACTAAAAGGTTTGAGGATTAGCTACCTTAGGTAGAAAATTCAAGAAGTATTCTTTGGGGAAGTTGAAAACTTTTATGCCTGCAGCAGTATCCTCGACCGTAGACGAGAATATGGAGACGAGTCATCAAAGTTGGATGATCAGATAGGATAAAAATTTCTTGGTTTTACTTAAAGAAATAAATCCAATTCAATGCCCAATCTCAGGAACCACGAAAAAGAAAAGGACAATTTCGATTTTCCGGACTTTAAAAAAAGTTCGGTCAAATCAAGACAAAACGGCCGAATTTTACCCTATCTCAATCCCTTTTCTGCCCCCTGGTCAGGTTTGGTTGGGTTAGGAATAAGATTGGTACAAGCTGAACAACTGCTTTGGAGGCTTGGAGCTAGAAAGTGGTTACAGGACGCCCACAGACAAAATTAACTTACCGTCCGGAGAGAAGGAAAGTTCGGTGACACTTTCCAGCTAATCGAACAGATAAAGAAAATCTTAATCGAGATTGAGAATGAGCAGAGGCGGAAAACTCCTGAATATCCAAGACAAATTATAGCGCCGTTACAAAAGTTATCAACAACTCATATCAGCGTCGTATCTCGAGTTTTCATTTTCAAAGAGAAGGCTATTCTGATTTTCCATCCATCTAGAACATCCATGATGAAATAACAAGGCATAACACAGTTACTAATATCTCCATGAATTCATCTTATTTTTACTGATTATAACACAGTTTAGCAGTTCTATGAGATCTTAATATATTTCAGTTGCGAGATTTAAAACGGAAATTGCAATCATACTATCCTTACCGAGAATGAGCATGGCATCAGGCAGGGCGCCAAGAATGGGAAGAAACAAGCCACCAACGATCCCCGGGCCCAAGATTTCAAGCAACAGCTCGCTGCCACAGGACAAATAGGTAGCGGCCTTGTACATGAGGAAGCCATAGACGATGATAAGGAACAAGTTCCCGACTACACTGGTGGTGCAGGGCAAGAACCCGTACGTCTGGTCGCAGGTAGACTCCGTCAGCGGCAGGGAAAACCGGAGCAGATTGTCCTCCGGCGAATCCCGGAAATCATGGATCCCATCGGAAACTAGATCAGAGGAGGAAGAAAGAAAGCGAGCGCGGACCTGAGCGCAGAGGATTAGGAGGGAGAGGGAGAGGGAGAGGGAGAGCGTGAAGCTGAAGCGACGAGACATTGGGATGGGAAAACTGATCATTAATGGGTGAGGATGTGAAGCATTTGTGAGGTTTAAGTAAGGATATGGAGGCAGAGAAGAAGAGAGTGGCGTTATGGATGTTTGAATTGCATTCAAAGGAAGGTTTCTACGTGTGGGGACGGAAAAACGGTCGGCGATCTGCGTCCGAATCGCGTGCCCTGCGGGGAAGAGGATGGTTGTGGGAACATTTTATATTAAAAATTTAGAAGATAAAACTCTTACAAAATGTAACAAAATAATTCTTTATGTTAAAAACTTCAAAATTTTACATAATTCATGAACAAGTGAACCCAAATAATCAATTTTTTTACTTCTTCTTCTTTTAGGGAGAAAAACACGGCAGCTTTTTCTTGTTATAATTAGGTGAGAGGGGAAAATCAAGAGGTACTCAAAACAAATTTATTTTTTTTGGGGGGAGGGGGCGGGGGAGGTTGTCGTGGGTGCGTTGGGGGATGGAGATAGGATGGTCATGTGATGCGTACAATTTAGAAAAAATAATAAGTAAATTCCAAAATATTAAATCAAAAACCGTGGACAAAATCTTAAAAAAAACTACAAATATCCATTAATTTTAGTTATATTTAAAATTCTGGTTTTCGTAATGGTTTGAACTTTGAATTGTTATTTTTAACTTATTTTTAAAAAGATTTTATCGCACACTTACTTGTTATTAATTCAACATTTTAAAATCCAAATTGAAATCCGTTGATTATTTAGTGTATTAGTTGTTAAATTTAAAGTGCAAACGTATGTAATAAGACAACCAATCTTTAGAAAGAAAATAAGAACTCTATATTAAATGAGAAAAAAATTAGAGTTTTCATCTTTTGATTGGGCCAATTTCCTCTGTGCCATGTGAAATTTGATACATGAATTAATGTTGTTTATAATGTCACAGGGGAGAATTCCCTTCGAAGATTTTTGAAGTAAGTTATTTATTAAAGAAAATATCAATAAAGACTTATTGACCAAACTTATTTTAAATTAAAGCTTTTAAAATTTTAAAATATTATTGCAATTCAGAAGTCCTGATTTAATATTAAATTTACAAGAGAATGACACGATTGTATTTCATTTAAATTCATACCCTACTTGATTTATTCATTACCCTACTTTAATTGTCCATTACTTACTTAATATTGTTCGTTGTTACACTTTACTTATTCATTTCTTTGAAATAAAATCAAGTAAAAGTTTGGTAAAAAACAAGTGAAGTAGGTGCAGTGAACAACATTTCTTAAGTAAATGAATAATATATAATACAAGAACTAACAAGTTATTTTAAGATAATTTAAACATTTGAAATAAAATTAAGTGAAGTAGGATAATGAACAATATTTTATAAGTAAATAAACAAGTGAAATAAATAAATAAGTGAAGTAAAATAGTTCTTTTATCATTTTTCTCAAATATCTAATATCAAAGCAAGACCTCATACTGCAGTAATATTTCATAAATTTAAAAGCTTAATTTAAAATAAGTCTGATTAAAATGTTTTTTTGATATTTTTCCTATTTATTATTGTACAACCAAGAAAATAGTATGCAAGAATCGCGAGACTAAATTGTAATTACACTATTGGTCAATTATCAAAATGCCTTCCCCTTAATTTGGAAAAAAACTCACCCTCTGGTCCACCATTGTCACCACATTTGTGGCAATGGTCCCGCCACCAGAACCCCATCACCAGCAATTGTATCATGGCACTAGCGATAAATTTAGTTCAAATTTTATTAAGTTGTAATTCAGATTTTAATAAAATCAATGTTCAAAGCTTGTTTAGACAACAACTTATTAAAATTCAAACTACAACTTCTTATATTTAAAAAAAATACAAACGCAATATAAAATGTCTATTGTCCATATCTATATATGAGATTTAACAAAATTATTGTTGAAAGCCTAACACAACCCTCTTCTTTTTATTTTGACTTAAGACTAACTATAAATATAGATAAAAATTAATATTTAAGAAAAATAAATTGTTAAAATTGAAAATATAACTTTTTAAATTTGATCTACAACTGGTCATTGGAGCCTTGAAGTTAGCCAATAACTTGTTGGAATTAAATTTTAAGTTGTCAATATTATAAACAAAAACCATTAGTTAATATTCAAAACTGTTCAAAGAATGACATGTCAAAATTCGAACCCACAACTTTTTAGGACTTGTTCTGTTTTTGTTTTTAATTTTTTGTAGTTAAAAAAAACTCATTTAACTAAGCGTTTTACATTTAAATATTTTAAAACTGTTCTATTTTTAATTTTAAAAACAAAAAGAAGAATAAATAATTTATACTCCTCCATTCAAAAATATAAGGTATTTTTAATTAAATCTCACCTTCCAATAAAGTAGTTAACTACTTTTCAATTAACTCTATCTTTTCATATTTATCCCTATTAAATACTCTACAATAAATATAAAGTCATTATTAATAGGGGCACTTTAAAAAAAGTCAATGACTATATCTCAAAAAACTAAAAATATCTTATATTTTTAATATCTAACTCTTTAAAATACCTTATATTTTTTAATAGAGAAAGTAGTTTTTTTTATTTTTATTTTTAAAGTACATTACATTTTGATTATTGTAAATTATCTTCCGTTATAAACATGGTCAATCATTATCATATGTCATTGTCATTGGCGACTGCCACTACTGGTCATTTTGTAACATCCCAATTTAAATTTTAATAATTAATTTGGGTTAATAGAAATAAAAAAAATAATATTTAGAGGAAGAAATTAGTAAGAGATGATTATTAAATCTAACTTAAGATATAATTCTAAAAAAAATAATTAAATAAAAAAAATTTAAAAAAAAATAATTAAAAAATAAAAAATATATTATTAAATTATTATTATAATAAAAAAAGGAAAAGGTTTGCAAAAAAAAAGGAGAAAACGTGCAGCCGCCTCAATAGTAACAATAGTAAAATAATAATAATAAAGAAAGAGAGAAAGAAGAGAGAGAAAGAATAAAAAAAATATGTGGGGACCACTGAATTTTTATAAAAACTCACCTGTTCTTTCATTTCTTCATTCCTTCTTTCGTGCCTAAGTTGAGGCAGAGAGAGAGCATCTGTGAGCCAATTCACCGGTGCTGGGTTTTAAAGTAAGTTTTTAATAGGATATTTAGGGTGTGATTTTAAACTTTTAAGATTAAGTAAGTGTTCTAAATTTTTTCTTAGTCATCCTTCTTCTTTAGTTTCTGAGTTTGTAGTGGTAGAAAAAATTTAAGATCTGGAAGAGGGATGAATTTATGTTGAATAAATATGATTTTTGAGGTTGTTAGTAGATAATAAATATTCTAGAGTATAATTTATTAGTGATCTTTAAATTTGTGGCTTATGGATCAAATTCTAAACTAGATCTGAAATATATGTTAATTTATTGAGGTTTAGATGATTTTAGGACGAGAAATGAATTATATGGTTATAGGATTATGATTCTAAGCTAGAGACTCAATTTTTATTTTTGGGTATTTTATGTATGATTTATGAAATAAAAAGAAAATTTTGATAATAGAAATTAGTTTAGAAGTTGATTTTTAGATTATTAATGTTTATTGATAATTAAAAAGGAGTTAAAAATTTTACTTAATAATATTACTATAGATTTGTATTAAGATTGAAATTAGGAATTATGTTATATTTTTAATTCTATTATTAGAATTATTTTATTAGTTTCAAAAATTGAAAAAATATTTATAAATAATATGTTATTTTGTAGATTGTATTACTGGTGAAGATTGTGGTGAGAGAGAAATTTTAAGAATAATTATTGAAAAAGCCACAAGGTGGTACAATGCTTTTAATTTGTGATTAGTGTTACTTCATGTTAATTGGGTGATTATTGAGAAAATTATGAATTTTTAATATGTATAATTGTGCAATATTATTATGAATTTGTTTATTTATCGTGGGAGGTGTTGGGAGACTTGTTATTATTGTTGTAATTATGTGCCCGTGGTACGCCCCTATGGAGCTCAATAAGTGGCTTGTAAGGGCTCGGGCTAATCTACCTTTGGCCGGGTAATTTAGCACCGAGTGAGGGCTACGGCTCGAGATTAATGGAGGGATATAAGGATGGTTGTTTGTGTGTATTGTAATATTTCTTATATTTGTTGGAATTATGTTATTTTAATTTTCACTTAAAAAGTACACACTTAACTGTTTGTATACACTATCATAAATTGGCTTTGGTTACTGGGACTTTTGAGTCTCATTATGTGGTTAACAATTTTCAGGAGAAGAGCCACGAGTGACACGTGGAGGAGTCCCAAAGGCTTAGTGGTATAGATCCACTGTTCTTTTGGGTATTTAATTTATGATTTATAATGTGTTATATTGCCAATATTAGGGCCTTTTGTTTATTGTCAATATATGAATATATAAATGTAATCATGCCTTTCAAACTATTTCTATTTTTAGTACAATTTGGATGACTGTAATTTTAATATTTGGTTTACTTTGGATTGGTTAAAATGGCATGATTATAAGGCCAAATAACTGGCTTGTATTAAAAATTGACTAAATTGCTTATTTTACTTGTTGGGAGTATAAGGATAGACAAATGTGATTTAGTTTACTTGTTGGGAGTATAAGGATGGACAAATGTGATTTAGCCTAATGGCATGTGGGAGGTAAAAATTTATCTGAAATGTTATAGTGGTGAGTTGAAGCCAATTATAAAATATTTTATATCGAAATTATTGATATAAAAATGTGTTGGGTGGCTGTAATCCAACTATGGTTGAGTTAAATTATAAAAAAAAAATTTGGTGTGTTACAATTCTTACTCTAAAATTATTTTTAAATTATCATAATTAAATAGGTTTTCATTTTATTTTTTTTAAAAATAATTTTTAACATTTATTAACAAAATATTTTTAAAAAAAATTAAAAATAGAATGAAACTAAACAAGCTCTTAATATTTGAAAAATAATTTGTCAAAATGTGAAGTGCAGCTTGTCCGCCAAAACTTTGAAATCAGATTAAAGCCATCAAATTCGTTCAAGGAAAAAAAAAAAAAAAAAAAGATCACAAGCTATCAAAATTCAAATAAACGTGTCAGTATTCCCTGAACAAGTAATCATATTAAAATAATAGCAAGCCATTTAAAGAAGGCTATGCACTATTCCCAACTGTCTAGTAGTTTGGCCTTGCCAATTTTTTATTTTTAAATTTTTTATAAAAATATTTATTTAATAATATTTTTTATTAACAGTTATCATAAAGTATACTTTTTATGAAATTTTAGAATTTGTTATCATTATAATTTTTTAAATCATTTTGAAAATTAAAATTTGTTTTAACTTATTATCATGTAAAAATAACTAACAGTTGTTATTCTTTTAAACTTTTAAAAAAATAAATTTTGATTTTAATATTAGTTTTATAAAAAAATATATTTAAATAATAATAATATTTTTTTAAAGAAAACGTTTTTATGTATTTTTAAAAAGTCTTGTAAAAATATTTTTAAATCAATCAAGCATCAAGTTGACCTGAATTTGTATATCGAGCAGGACACTGGGCAGAAGTAAAAACCTATCGCGACCCTGTTCATGTGCAATCTTAAGAATAGCTGTTCAAAATTCAAATTGTCACCAGAACAAAGCTCCAAGACTATTGTTGACGCTAGCAACCTCGTCGTTGGAGCCTTGGAGATAAAGTCCCAGTGGTGGACCAGATTTCCGGTACCAATGACAACGACGGTGGCAATAGGGGAAGGACATTTTTATAATTGATCAAGAAAATTTAATTACAATTCAGTCTCTGGGCCCTTGACTGGTCCTATCTTGATATTACCTTTTTTAGAGGTCCTTAAATGATTCCCTCTCCTCAATTATGAATGGTTTGTAATAGTTTTTACACTGATATATCGATACCGTCATTGATTTTAAGTTGATTGATTTGTACTTATGAAAAGAAATAAAAACGTATCTTTAAAAATTATGATATATATGTAATTATGAAATTTATATAAATAATAAAAATATTTTGCAATGCATAGAGGATCTGAATAACGAAGGACATGCTTCTACTGTTCATTTAATTATTTGTTATAAAAAAAATATATAGATCATCCCAATACTTTCTCCTTGTATATTTTTATCTTGTTCCCCTAAACACGCTCTTTGTCATCCATTTGATTGATTTTTTTTATGGTAAAAAATTATTAAACAATGATTTTAAACTACATATGTGTGTATCCCGTTATCCTCATTTAGTCACGTAACCATTATAATCTTGTCTGAAAAAGTATTTCACTAATAATAATAAATGCAGACAATTAACCAAATATATTGTCCATTTATAAACTATTTTCTTAACCATTCAATTAATCAACCGAGAAGATTATGCATGGAGAGACCTAAAGTACGATACAAAATCCATTTTTTTACTGGTGTACGATACACACATAATTAATTAATTAAATCTTGATTTATGGATGACTTGACCCCCTACGCTTGCCACATAAAGATATAGTAAAATACAACGATATCTCTTTCATTTTGTTAAAATTATAGAGATTCCTTTTTATTTTCAAAGCATACACTTTAATCCAATTTTTAATACTATTAGAAATATCATGTTAAAAATTTTAGAATACTTAATTTTTTATTTGTAATTATGTTAAAATGTTTAAAATTATAATTTGTTCTTATGATCTAATTGTCTGCTCCCTCTCTCCCTGTTTTAAAAAGCTTTAAATAATTACGTGGTCAATATTCAAATAATAATTTAAAATTTTTGTGTTAAATTAATCAACTTTAAAGACAAATAATATAAACACAAATCATATAAATTCCTATTTTATAGATTTTTTAACTATGTGGTTGAATATTCTTTTAGCCAATTTAATATATTTAATTTTTTGAAAAATCACTAAATAAATGCATTTACGTAATCAAAAAATTTAAAACATAAACAAGAATAATAAGATTATATGGATTTATTTTTTGGGTAATTTCAAAA